TATTGTCTTGATAGTCTCCTTTGATGTACAAAAGTGTACATAAGTCTCCTTTGATGTACAAAAATTGTACATATTCATGGGGTATTTATAGTGATTTTTTGATAAATGTAATGTATATATTGATCAGATCAGGGTAATTTGCATATCTGTCATCTCATACATTTATCATTTCTCTTTGTTAGGGACATACAATACCCTCCTTCTAGCTACTTGAAACAGTGCACTGGGCGGTGCCTGTGGCTCGCTGTGTAGGGCACCGGCCCCATATACTGAGGGTGGCAGGTTCCAACCCAGCCCCGGCCAAACTGCAACAACAACATAAAAAATAGCCAGGTGTTGTGGCAGGCACCTATAGTCCCAGCTACTCAGGAGGCTGAGGCAAGAGAATCACCTAAGCCTAAGAGTTGGAGGTTGCTGTGAGCTATGACACCACGGTACTCTACCAAGGGCGACAGCTGTGCAGTATTAACCATACTCATCCTACAGTGGTATAGAACACTACAACTTATTCCTCCTATCTAGCTGTGATTTTGTGTCCTTTAATAAATCTCTCCCAAAGGTTTTTAATTTTAATGAAGTTTGGTTTATCTATCTCTTCATTTGCTGCCTATGTTTTAATGTCACATCCAAGAAATCATTGCCAGATTCAATGTCATAAAGATCTTTCCCTATGTTTTCCTCTAGGAATTTTATAATTTATGTCAAATATAGGCCTTTAATCCATTTTGAATTGGTTTTTACATGTGATATAAAGGAAGGATCCGATTCTTTTTTATGGGCATATCCAGTTTTCTCAGGACCATTTGTTAAAGAGACTGTCCTTCCGGCTCAACACCCATAGCTCAGTGAGTAGGGTGCTGGCCACATGCAGCCAGGCTGGCACGTTCAAGCCTGGCCCAGACCTGTTAAACAACAATGACAACTGCAACCAAAAATAGCCAGGCATTGTGGCCGAGTGCCTGTAGTCCCAGCTACTTGGGAGGCTGAGGCATGAGAATCACTTAAGTCCAGGAGTTTGAGGTTGTTGTGAGCTGTGATACCACGGCACTCCATCAAGGATGACATAGTGAGACTTGGTCTCAAAAAAAAAAAAAGAGAGAGAGAGAGATAGACTGTCCTTCCCCTCATATAACTATAAGTGCAAGGTTTTATTTCTGGGCTGTTTAGTCTGTTCCATTGGTCTATGTGTCTATACTTAATGCTAGTACCACACTGTTTTGAGTACTATATCTTTGTAGTTTTAAAATAAGGAATGTTAGTCTTCTTTTGTTGTTTGTTCTTCTTTTCAGGGTTCTTTTATTTATTTGGGGGGTCTCTTGAAATTCCATATGAATTTTAGGGTGTACTTTTTTTATTTCTGCAAAAAGTATCTTTGGGACTTTGGTGATTGTGTTCAGTCTGCCTGTCATTTTGAGTAGTGTTGTCCTCTTAACAATATTCAATCCTTTTTTAAAATTTTATTTTATTTTTTATTGTTTGGGATTCATTGAGGATACAAAGAATTAGGTATACTGATTGCATTTGTTATATGAAGTCCCTCTTATATTTGTATCCTGCCCCCAAGAGGTATGCCATACACCGTGACCCCCCTGTCTTCCTCCCTCCTCCCCTCTCCCCACTTGCTGATTCCCCTACCCCCCCAATTAGCTCATCTACTGCCTTCATATTAGAATAGAGTACATTGGATTCTTGCTTCTCCATTCTTGTGATCCTTTGCTCAAGAAGAATGTGTTCCACTTCCATCCAGGTTAATACGAAAGATGTAAAGTCTCCATCTTTTTTAATGAATAAGTAGTATTCCATAGTATACATATAGCACAGCTTATTAATCCATTCCTGGGTTGGTGGGCACTTAAGCTGTTTCCAGACTTTTTGGAGATTGTAAATTGAGCTGTAATAAATAGTCTAGTGCAAATGTCCTTATGATAAAAGGATTTTTTTTTGTTCTGGGTAGATGCCCAGTAATAGGATTGCAGGATCAAATGAGAGGTCTAATTTGAGTTCTTTGAGGATTCTCCCTATTTCCCTTCCAAAAAGGCTGTATAAGTTTGTAGTCTCACCAGGAGTGTAAAAGTGTTCTCTTCTTTCCACATACACTCAAGCATCTGCAGCTTTGAGACTTTGTGATGTGGGGCGATTGTCACTAGGGTTTAGGTGATATCTCAGGGTGGTTTTAATTTGCATTTATCTGGTGATTAGGGACAATGAGCATTTTTTCATATGTTTGTTTGCCATTTGTCTGTCTTCTTTAGGTAAGGATCTATTCATATCTCTTGCCCAGTGATATATGGGATTGTTAGGGTTTTTTTGTTGTTGTTGACTAATTTGAGTTCTCCATAGATCCTAGTAGTCAAGTTTTTGTCCGATTCATAATATGCAAATATCTTTTCCCATTCTGAAGGTTGTCTGTTTGCTTTGGTTGTTGTTTCCTTAGTTGTACAGAAGCTTTTCAGTTTAATTAAGTCCCATTTGTTTATTTGTGGTGGTGTTGCAAGTGCCACAGAAGTCTTCTTCATGAAATCTTTCCCCAGGCTGATATCTTCAAGTGTTTTCCCCACATTTTCTCTGATTTTTATTGTTTCATACCTTAGATCTACATCTTTTATCCATCTTGACTTAATTTTTGTAAGTGGTGAGAGATACTGGTCCAGTTTCAGTCTTTTACGTGTGGCTATCCACTTCTCCCAGCACCATTTATTGAGTAGGGACTCTTTTTCCCCAGTGCATGCTCTTATTTGGTTTATCAAATATCAGGTGGCTGTAAGAGGTTAGTTTCATCTCACGGTTTTCTATTACGTTCCAAATGTCAATGTCTCTATTTTTGTGCCAGTACTATGCTGTTTTGATCACTATGGCCTTATAGTGTAGCCAAAAGTCTGATAGGGTTATACCCCCAGCTTTGTTTTTATTACTAAGAATTGCCTTGGCTACACGTGGTTTCTTCTGGTTCCGTACAAAATGAAGAATTATTTTTTACAAATCTTGAAAGTCTGATGATGGTATTTTAATGGAGATTGCATTGAATCTATAGATTGCTTTGGGTAGAATAGACATTTTCACAATGTTGATTCTTCCCAATCCACGAACACAAGATGCCTTTCCTTTTATGTATGTCCTCTTTAGTTTCTTTCTTGAGTATTTATAAAGAATAAATTAAATTTAAATCTATTTCTTTAATTATAAAATTATTAAAGAATGAAACATTATTTAATATAATGGAATCAGCATATTTTTACTTTTTCTGATTTTTTCCCCATGGTACCTTCCAGATCTTGATAATATAATTTTTCTTATTTATCTTATTTTGCTTTTTTTTTTTTTTGGTACTTAGTCTATAGCCCTGGGGTTGAGTGCTGTAGTGTCATAGCTGACAGCAACCTCAGACTGTTGGACTTGAGTAATCTTCTTATCTCAGCCTCCCAAGTAGCTGGGAAGTGCCCACCACAACACCTAGATATTTTTAGAGACAGGGTCTTGCTCTTGCTCAGGCTGGTTTCAATATCCTGAGCTCAGGCAATCCACCTGCCTTAACCTCCCAGAGTGCTAGGATTACAGATGTGAGCCACCTCACCAGGCCTCTTATTTTTGCTGTTTAAGTTCCTATATAGGAAGGTATAAGATACCCATGCTCGTATTGTTGTCTTGTCTAGAAGTTCCAAAATTTTTCTTTAATTCTATGATTAAGGCTTTTTGCCAAGGCCCTTTGTCCCTGATCATTATTATATTTAAAACTACTGGATTTTAAATATTTTTAAATTTGAGAATTATTTTACAGTGTTTTTCTTTGGTAAGTTTAAGAATTCTAAAGAATATAGGAATACATTATTCTTCTGAAAACTAGAAACTTGGCAGGTATCTCCTCTGTTCACTTTTCCTAGTCTCAGTCTTATCACCGAGGCTTACTTTATCAGGTATATATTTCCAGATACCTCTATCAATTTGTTCAAAATTCTGATAGTATAAAAATTCCATTTTTCTGAATAAAACAGAAGTCCTTTATGTGGATTTTATTTTGCAATATTTTATTGTATATTCAGTTCACATGTGCTCACTCTTGTGCTAAGCACTTTGAAAGTATAAAGCTGTGTTCAGTGCTTTTAGTAAGCTTTCAATGATAGGGAAATGAGGCATGCACACAAATGATGAGAAAGCAGTATAATTATTATAATCATTAGTTATCAGAATAAGCGAACAGGTTAATAATCACTGGAAGAGTAATAATAGTGGCCTTAAGATATCACAGATGCTTTAATGAAAAATTTTCATCTGGGATCAACCTTGTAAATGGAGGGTAATTGAAAAACATATATCATTCTAGGTAGGAAAAAACAGAAACATGCTTATAAATGGGAATAAGTATGTATTCTGGGAATGGTATACAGCAACAACTTGATTCTGATGTATAATTTATATTTATATTGGAAATAATGTTGATACTTTCATGAATACAGTTCAGACTTATGTTTCTAATTCACTGATAATTTTGTATTTAACTTTAAAACAATGTGTGGATTAAGACTTTTGAGTGGGATGAAGGGAGAGGAAACTTATTTTAGTAACTTTAATCTAAAAGTATTGAGTCATCATAAATTATCACTATTAGCTTGAAGATAAGATTCTCATCATTAATAATATCAGTTCATCCTGGGTATGTAGAAAATGTTGCTCAGAAACTTTGTGAGATTTAGTTTATTAGGATAAACATGAGTCTAAATGGCTGGGAAAGTGGTGTGTAGTACCACCACAGAATACATTTTTTATCTTTAGACAGATTTGTTGATGAGATTCTCATTCCTATAATGTCAAAGAAAATATTTGCAATTATCTTAGATTTGAAAATTCTTAGAGTTGGAGAACCTTGTTATCTATCCTCTACGAAATGGATATTGATTTTTTTCTTATAAGCATACTGGTTTTAGCTTGCTTGACTTTTAAAAAATGTTTTGTGGTAGACATAGAATGTTAATATTAAGACAAAAGAATATATTTTACAAGCTTACAAATGACATTAACTGTGTGACCACAAAGCAGAATAACGTTGAACATTTCTGCATTAGCTCTTTATGAGAGACTAGAGTCCTATTTTATTTACAAAATTCTACCTAGGTATGAAACTATTTTCCTATTTCTCATGCTAAGTGAAAATATAATAAAATAGCTGCCTTGATAGGGAGAAAACAAAGTTCCTACTTCAAAAGGAATTATTGTGAATCATAAAAGAAAAATGGGAGATCACTGGAAATATTTAGCTTTTCAGAGTTTTTGGAACATCTGCCTTTAATGGTTTTGAAATAAAGTAAAGGCCAGGAAAAACAAACAGTTGAAAGTTTCTTGGACTTATCCTCTTACATCATTAGTAATAGCAATACACCTCATATTTGGGTACTTACATAAAAATACGTCTTTTAAGTGGCAGTGACATATAAACTAGAGGGAATTTGTAATGCTTTTGACATATTTTTACCTTACTTTGTTTGAATATAGGAATTCAGTCTTTTTACTTATTACATATAAAATTTTTGAACATCTTTGCTGAAAACATCAAATTCCTTCATAAAGGGATACAAAGTTAATATTAAACCAATACTTATATTCCTTTTGACATTATTAAGAGAGTATGAGTATGTGTGTACTTTACATGTTGTACTGATAGAGGTTAAAAGTATGAACCTATGGGTAATCTTTTTAAGCAAATAAAACTGTTTGGATGCTTTCCCAGGACTATTGGATTGCCCTCCAGGCGTATCTCTTCAATTCGGTCCCGAATGTAACGTGTGTCATTAGCCTTGCAGAATGTATCATCTGTAATTGAAGTTATGTTGTTAAACTGAAAAATAAGAAGAAAAAATTATTCAGAAAACTATTCAGAAATCTGAAATCAACCGTTCATATGCTTTGTCATAGGATCCCATAGAATATTTTATCAAAATAGTAATTTTTAATATTGTGTTAATAAAACCCTCTGTATATAATGCGAGCCTCCTTTTATAAATCTAAAATAAATGTGTTATTTTAGAAGAACAGACTACTTGCTGTTACTTAGAGTAATATTAGTAATTACTAATTAGTAATTAGTAAAATTAGTAATAACACAAAGTTCTGAGTAGTAATACTATCATTCTAGTTGGAGAAAGTATTCTATTCTCGAGTTTCAACTCAGAATGGGTGCTGTGTCCTTAAGTAGTCCAAAAAGTAAAAGAACAAATAGGAATTCTGTGACACCAAGAGACCAGTTTTAGTTTATTTTCATTCTCTCTTCACTTTTGCATTACTTCAAGTTGATATTGTACAGCCAGCTGAAAAGTCTCCAAAAGCAAATGTTTACCACTGTTTGGAGAAAGAAACAGAAATCAGAGGTCTAAGTGCCCCCTCATTTCAAATCTGTGTGTCAGATTACTGGTAACTATAAAATGCCAAGTGTACCCCTGGAGTAAAATCCCAGTCAACAGCAGCCTTTATACCTACTGTGCTGGTTCACTCATTATGCTCTGGATAGAACCTGGGCTTCTGGGCAGAAGAGCTCATTTAGCTAAATATTCATACTTTTAATAAGCAATTAACTATCACAGTACTCTAGTGATCTAATCAAAATTTGCATGTGAATACGTAAGATTTGCAATTAGTTACAAGATTTTGACCCGCAGGTAATTAAAGTCAGATATTGTGAAAAGAACCATCATACCTGAAGATGAATTACACGTAGACTTTCTGGTAAGTTAAGAGGCACAGATTCCAGGGCATTGTGGTCCAAGTAGAGGAAGGAGAGATTGTTCAATTTCTGTTAACAAAAGTTTTGTTATCAAGGTCTGTGCATTCCTTCACAGGATTCAAATGGGGGGGGGTATATTTGTGTGTGTGTGCAAGTATGATGTATGGTCCTTTACCTTCATCTCATCTCTGAATACCCAGCCCTGATACTAACATCTGAGGCCCTTTCAGTTAGTCTTGGGAGCAGCTAATGAAGTCAATCCCTACCTGATTGGACGTTGGTGCTCCCTTACTCTCTCCTGTACTTCCAGAGCTTCCCATCTGGAAGCTCCACCAATTTCTAGAAAGGTGGTGCAAAGTTATTACTCAAGAGATGTGTGTGCTTAGCAAAATGTTTCCTGAAATAATTTATTAAACGCTTAGCTTGATATGTTTTTTCTCCAAAGGGCTTTGTGTTGGATTACTCTTCATGATCAGTAACCCATTATTGTGTATGACTATATGCTATGAATTCAAGACGTGATTTCCCCTGACATTACTTTTTTTTTCCTTTTAAAGATGGTCTCACTCTGTTGTCTAGGCTATAGTGCAATAGCATGACAGAAGTTCATTGTAACTCCATACTCAGGCTCAAGAGATCCTCCTATCTCAGCCTCCTGAGTAGGTAGGATTACAGGTACATGCTACCATGCCCCGCTAATATTTTTTTTTATTCTTATTGGAGACAGGGTCTCTCTGTGTTGCCCAGGCTTGCCTTGAACTTTGGCTTCAAGTGATTCTCCCACCTCAGCTTCCCAAAATGCTGGGATTACAGTTTTTGGCTTTCAGTCCTGGCCTGATATTATCCTTGTACCTTAGCTTTGATATATATCCTCTAAAAAATAGTTTTTTTGATATAAGTTTCATTAATTTTTTTATTTTTCTAGAGACAGAGTTTTGCTCTATCACTTTCATTGGAATGCAGTGACATAATTGTAGCTTACTAAGTCGCTAAAACTATAGGCATATGCCACCATATCTAATTTTTAAAATTTTTTTGTGGTGCTGGGGTCTTGCTTCATTACCTAGGCTCATCTTGAACTTGTGACCTCAAATAATCCTCTGGCTTCAGCCTTCCAAAGGGCTGGGAATACAGGCATGAGTCACCATTCCTGACCTAATCCCTTCCACCACATGGGCACCGGCCTTCTTTCCTCCCAGTGTACTTCCTTTACATGGGTTAGAGTAACCTAGGTTTTACCATTAGCATAATGACAAAGTAGCCAAGTTTATCATTTTTATACCAACTTGTCATGAATTCCTTATGTAATACATGTGTAAATCCCAAAATATTTAAACATTCTTTTTGTGAAATGTCAATCATCTTTTATAGGTCTTTAACATCTTGGTTATTAATATGACCAACTCAGATTAATATTTTCAAAGACATTGATACCCTAAGAGTTCTTTAACTTCTGAATCTCTTGGAAGAAACATTAGAGGTACTCTGATATAACTTTAAAACATCTCGTAAAGCTGAAAAAGGATACCTCAAATGTAAACAAAAAGAAAAGGAAAGAAAAATTGAATATTTTTACATTTCCTAACAGACTATATTTGTGGACAGATTATATATTTGTGGGATTATCATAAACTATGAGCATTATTTTTTTTTAAATTTCAGGTTAATGTGAGTATACAAACAAGCAGGTCAAAATATTTGAATTTGTTAGGTAGAGTTCCTCTTGTAGTTATGTCTCACATTCAAAATGTGTACCAAACACCCCCATATGGTCGGTGCCTATTCAGTGGGAGCACTTTACCCCTCTTCCCCTCCCTTCATTTCCCCTCATTCCAACTTGAATTGAAATGAGTTTTTCTCCTATGTGGGCATGCATTAGATTGTCTACTGGCTTCGTGTTAGTATTGAGTACATTGAATAATTGCTTTTCCTATGAGAATGAATTTGTGATAGTTTTAGGACCTTCTATTAGGAATTATGTTTTGAAGCAACAGACTTTGCCTTTCAAATGAAGTTATGTCTGTTGTCAGCAGTAGTATAATCATCTCATCCTTTTATCTGAAGTTATCCTCCAGGACTAAGAATGATACCTCAGAGCTGTGGACATTGTCCTGGGTGGTTATTTCTATAGACCATGCGTTTTGCAACAACCTGGGTACATAAGTTAAAGTAGATTACCTTCTTGTTTTCCTACATAATATTTTCTTGGATTGCTAAATTAAAAATATAATTAATTTTTTTTTTTTTTGAGACAGTGTCACCCTTGATCTCCCTCAGTAGAGTGCTGTGGCATCACAGCTCACAGCAGCCTCAAACACAAGCAATGCTCTTTCCTCAGCCTCCCAAGTAGCTGGGACTACAGGCACCCGCCACAATGCCTTGCTATTTTTACAGACATGGTCTTGCTCTTGCTCAGGCTAGTCTCAAACTTCTGAGCTCAGGCAATCCACCCACCTTAGCCTCCCAGAGTGCTAGGATGACAGGTGTGAGCCACCATGCCAGACCTTTTAATTCTTACATGTAGATTTGTGTTAGATGGCATCATGAAATTCAAGGAAAGTCTATAGAATTTTACAGTCCAATATTTTTAAATATTAGAAGTCAAATTCAGTGTTTACTTTCGGAACTTTTTCTGGCCTTCATAAATTGTTGTTATTGTAATGGGAAAAGAAACACAGAGAAAGTGCATTTTGAGTTTTTGCAGACTGTAAGTGCCATGAGGGGGCCAATTGTGTCTGTCTAAACAAATATATTTGCTGTGTGGATAAGAGAAAAAAATGGGAAATAATGTAATCCCATGAAATTAAGATAAAAATATTAGATGCAGGTATAAACTAGGCTAAGTAAGCCTAATAGGATAGCTATTTGTTATGTAAATAATTTATCAAATCAAAATAGTTTTAAAATGTAACCAAAGCAATTCTAAACCATGGTTTCTGCTTTATATATCACATTATCAATAATACTTTGTGTAGTTTAACTATAAAATACTTACTTTGAATGCATTTGCTTTGATTCCTCTGCTCTTGATTTTGTTATATTTTGCATTAAATAAAGTGAGCTTGGGAGGAAGAACTGGAAGTTTTAGTAGTTGATTTTCAGCCAGTGAAAGTTCTTCTAACAGAGAAAGTTTTGAAAAAGTACCATCTTCTATGTCTTCTATCAGATTTCCCGTAAAATCAAGTCTTCTTAAGTTAGCTTGAGGGAAAAATATTCAAAAAATATAAAGTTAAATTTTCATTTATGATTGACTAAAAGAACATTTGTTTAACAGATATTCAAACATCTCTTACTTTTAGTGCTCAGTAGACTGTCTACAAATAATAGCTCAGTAAGATTTTGCTGAGTGAACATCAAGCATTTTTTTGTACCTGACACTGGTCCCCCTTCTAAGTGGAGTTCTAGAATCTCAAGTTTGGAAGGAATCTTAAAGTTAATGGAGTCTTTCTTTTTTTTTTTGAGACAGAGTCTCACTATGTCACCCTCAGTAGAGTGCCCTGACGTCACAGCTCATTGCAACCTCTAACTCTTGGGCTTAAGCGATTCTCTTGCCTCACCCTTTCAAGTAGCTGTGAGTACCCGACACTTGGTTATTTTTTTGTTGCAGTGTCGTTCAGCAGGCTTGGGTCAGGTTCGAACCCACCAGCCTTGGTGTACGTGGCTGGCACCCAAACCACTGAGTACAGGCACTCAAGCCATTAGTGGAATCTTTCTATGCTCTCTCTTTGAATTCCTCAGAATGTTCAGGCAGTTTGAAAGAAATTCTTATTATAAATCATAAAAAGTAGTCATTGATCGAATAGAATGATATGATAGTTTGGATATATTTTTTAGACATCCTCTGTAGAGCGCTGTGATTTCAGAGCTCACAGCAATCTCAAACTATTGGGCTCAAGCAACTCTCTTGTCTCAGCTTCCTGAGTAGCTAGGACTACAGGTGCCTGCCACAATGCCTGGCTATTTTTAGAGATGGGGTCTCACTCTTGCTCAGGCTGGTCTTGAACCTGTGAGCTCAGGTAATCCACCTGCCTTAGCCTCCCAGAGTGCTAGGATTATAGGCATGAGCCACTGCGGGAGCCTAATAGTTGGGATTTGTTGCTTCCATATTACATATAATTGTAAGTATGTTATCTTAATCATAATCATACCTTATTGCATAACAACAAAGACAACAATGTTTCCTGATTTATTAGAGTGATACATACTGAGAGACAGAAAAAGTATTTGTGTGTTTGTGTCTGGGAAATATAGTTACTTCTCATTCATAGTAGTCGTGTTCTATAAAATCACTATAAACTCTAAATTAGTGAATACTGAACTGTTACTCCTAGAGGAAGTACAGGATTAGGTTCCTGTGAATCCCACATTAGATCTAATCCCAGGATTAGATCCCTGTGATCACACATTTTCAACTGTCAGTTGATACATAACCTTGTTTTATGTGTGTTCTTGTTTAAAGATATCTTATTTAATATATATTATTGATTCATTAACATTGCAGTATAACTCATGCCTGAATGAAGCATATCTAACATGTATTTTGTCTGTAAGGCATGTAATAACCTTCTTACACTTAAGAACGTTAGCACTTAAATTCACCTCAACTGGGAACATGTATGTCATTTAACTCAAAATGTTTGCCACTCAACCCATCACAGGTGTTAATTTTGGGGTTACAAATAAATTTCAACAAATAGGTAATTCACAAATATGGAATCCACAAATAATGAGACTCAACTATACTTCAGGTCATAGTTGGGAGCTACCAATGGCAGCATGAATTCAATTCTGGTAAATCTGATAAATGTGTATGTGTTTCTTAGTGTAATTTTCTTCAGAAACTCTTGAGAACATAGCAGTCTAGAAAACTGAAAAGAAATTTATGATCCAGGATTAGGGTTTGATACTACAGAAATGGGAGATTCTGGTGTGTCCATTGCAACACCCTTGTCGGGTTAAGGCTCGATACAAGCATAAGATTGTTAATGACCTGTTAAGAAATTAAAATGCTACTGTTCTCAATACTGTTTCCTTATTAGAATCATCCAACGGGTTTGGTTGTTTTTTAAAGATCCTGGCTGGGCCTTACCAAGACTTGAGTTAGAACCTCTGGGAAAGGAGTTGGTATCTTTTCAGTATCTTAAAAATAATTTCTATAGATATTTTTAATATATAGTCAGGCTTTAAGAGTGATAAGCTACAGTAAGAAAAAGCAGTTTCTGTGCTTTAATTATTGAAGGTAAAAAATAAAATGTTATTTGTTGGAGGAGCATCTTAGTTATATTGGAGAAATATCCTAGTTATATCGGTGCTGTTCATGATCTGAGGAAAAGGATCCTGAAGTATTTGGTTGAGAAGATATAGTTGCCCATATATTAAACAGGTTGTCAACGTACACACTGAAGTTGATAATAAAGATCACAGAATATGTCCAAATGGAAAGGTAATTCACCAACAAACTAATAGATTTTTGTGAAGTGTGGTAGATACTTAATATACTCCAACAGTGACAACCCTCCCTCTATGAGGTAGGTTGCAACTATGTGGAGCCTTGTGTTTGTATGAGTTAAATAATAATATGAGTTAATACTAATATCTTATTTAAACTTACGTATGTCTGCAAAATCTTTGGCAGTCAGCTTTTTAATTTTGTTGAATCGTGCATAAAGATAGGCTGATTCCTTTGGCAGGGGTGGTACAGTGTCAATGTCAACTTCTTCACAGTATACAGAACCACTTAAACAAACACACAACAGGCACGTGGGCATTTCTAAATCAAGAAAAAAAGTCAAAAAATTATAAACAGTAACTTTAAAATATTTGGCTCCTACTGGTAAAATTATTGCTATCATGAATTCTGTTACTAATTTGAAGATATATTTTACAGAATCATAGGTGATAACAGGAAAAATATTCAGTCTTGGTAACTTGTGACCTGCATGGTGCTTGATAATTCTCTAGAATATTATCTTGAGAGTCTGCAGTCCACACTCTTTTTATTCTGTTTTATTGATGATCACTTGACTGCTGAATTGATTGACAATTTTATTTCTTCATATGAATACCAAAAAAATTCATAAAGTTGAAGTTAAGGTAAGCAGAAGGTTGATTTATGAAGTTTAATATGTAAGAAACATATTTCAGATTGGTGATAGTAACTAATGACTTTAGAAACCACTTCTTAAATGAGCAAACCATTAAATTAAAAATTAGAGTTATCATTGGCACTGTTAGGATCCCTTAACACCTCCAAGTCATTCATTGCATTTGTCAAGCCTCTTTCCTTTAACCTAGAATAGTTTCTTAGTCTTTGTTTTTCACACTTTTCACTTTGTTTGAAAAATACAGAGCTTTTTTCCCTCGTTTAGTTTTCTTTTTCTTAAATTTTCTTTCCTTTCTTTTTTTCTTTTTTTTTAAAGATGAGTCTTTCTTTGTTGCCTGGCCTGGTCTTAAACTCCTGGCCTTAAGTGATCTTCCCACCTAAGCCTCCTGAGTAGCTGGGGTTACAGGCATGAGCCATCACTCCTGATTTAATTTTATTTTTCAGGGCATATTTTTTTGCAGAATGTCTTTTAGTTGACAGAGATTCCTCACTTTTGGTAGGAGTACCATGGCAATGATAGCGCATCCTCAGTACCCTCTCTGTTTATCCCATTCGTTACACTATCTTTGGTCACTTGGTTCAAGTGGTGTCAGCTGCGTTTCTCTGTTACTGTTTTTCACCTTGTAATTAATATGTCTTCTGGACAAGTCCTTTGAGACTCTTAATGTCTGGTGTGTCATCAGACTCTTGCCCATTAGTTTTAGCATCTGTTGATGATTATTCCCTAAGTCATTTATCACTGTGATAGTAGCCAAATAGTGATTTTCTAATTCTATCATTTCTTTTACATTTGTCAGTTGGCATTCTGCTGTAAAGTGGAGGTTTCCCTTCTATCTGTTTTTTTATATCAGTATGAACTTATATATTCTCTGTCGCATGAATCATGATCCATTGCCATCATGTTTATTTTTATAATCAAATTTTCACAGATTACCCAAGGAGGGCCCTTTCCAGCTTTTTTCCTGCCACAGCTTTTTGTAATTGACATACAATAAATTTTATGTATTGAAATTGTATAGTTTATAAGTTTTTTACATGAAACTTTCACCACAATTGAGGTAATTAACATATTGACCACCCCCAAATGTTTTCTCATGCCCCTTAGTAATCCCTTTAAGTTCTTGGAGCAAGTAGAATTCTTATACACTACTGGTGAAAATCTAGAATCACACAAGCCTTAGGAAAATAGTTTGAGACTTTATTCAAAAGGTAAGACCCAGTCATTGCACTCCTACCCAAGAGAAATGAAAGTATTAAGTCCATGCAAATATGTCCATATTGTTCATAGCAGCTTTGTTTGAAATCGCCAAAACCTAGAAACAACCCAAATGTCCCCAGCCAACCATTGATCTGCTTTGTGATGTGTATACCTAAATGTAAACTTTGCACTGAAGAGAATTTTCTATCAAAATTGTGGAGTATATTCTCTTTTTTCTAGCTTCTTTCACTCAGCATCATTATTTTGAGATTCATCCATTGTTACATGTAGAGGTAGTTCATTCCTCTTTATTACCGACTAGTATTCTGTTGTCTGAATATATACAAACTGTATGGTCATCTCCTGATTTCAAAGCAGTCCTCCTACTTCAGCTTCCTAGTTGCTCAGACTACAGGTGCCAGCCACAACACCCATATAACTTTTTTCATTTTGAGTAGAGATGAGGTCTTGCTCTTGTGTAGGCAGGTCTGGAACTCCTGAGCTTAAGTGATGCTCCTGCTTCGACCTTCCAGGATGCTAAGATTACATGTGCCTGGCCTCAAGATTCTTTTTAAATTTTCCTATGGTTGTCTGGTTCTTCTAGTACCATTTTTAAAGATTATTCTTTCCACATTGAATTGTTTGTCATATTGTCAAAAAAACAGTTGACCATCTTGTGTAATCCTGTTTCTAGACTCTTACTCTGTTCATCTTTTTTTTTTTTGTCTCACTTTGTTGCTCTTGGTAGCGTGGTGTCGCATCACAGTTCACAGCAAACTCAAACTCTTGGGCTCAAGCAATTCTCTTGCCTCAGCTGCCCAATTAGGTGGGACTACAGGACCCACAACAGGTCTCAGCTATTTTTTAGAGATGGGGTCTTGCTCTGGTTTAAGCTGGTCTATACCCATCTTGGCGTCCCAGAGTGTTGGAATTACAAATGTGAACCACTGCAATCGGCCCTATCTATTTTTTTTTATATTTATGCCAATACTGCAATATCTTGATTCCTGTACCCTTTATAGTAAGTCTTTCTAGCATAAATGCTTCAACTTTGTTCTTCAATGTTGTTTTGACTATTCTGGGTCCTTTGCATTTTCATATAAATTTTAGAATCAGCTTGTTAATTTTTTTAAAAAGCCTATTATGATTTTGATTAGATTTGTGTTGAGTCTATGAATAAGTTTGGAGAACATTAACATCTTGATGATATTAAGGCTTCCAACACCTCCTTCAGTTCAGGTCTTCTTATATTGTTGTCTAGATTTCAGTGTGTAGGTTTTATGTATCTCTTAAACATGTATACCTTTATTTATTTCATATATTTTGATGGATTTTTAGAAGAACTTCAGGAACTTCCTTTTTTTTTTAGCATTGTAAGACATCCCGAACCAATCTTGGATTTTTCCTTCCCCCAACCCTGAAATCAACTGTCTCTTCAAGAAGCACTGGAGATAGAGTCTCACTTTGTTGCCTTTTAGTGGAAAGTGGTGTTAGAAACCAAGATCGAAGTGCTAGGTATGCTCATTGCCGTTTCTAGGCTCTTTCAGCAGAGAGAACTAGGAACTATCAGTGTGTGTCTATTGTGTCTGTATCCGTATATAATATGCACATATGTATAATATGTACATGTAATTATATGTACACACTGTTTGCTCACATGTATACATAAATACATACCATGTGCATACGTACACACACTCAGATGAAAACACATCTATATTTCAGTATTTCTTTATAAAAGCCATGAGTCAATACTAATATCTTCCATTGTGGTCCAACTCTACAAACTATTTTTTAAAGGATTTTGCTGTGTTGCCTAGGCTAGAGTGCAGCAGTATCTTCATAGCTCAACCTCAGATTCCTAAGTTCAAGCAATCTTCCTGCCTCAACCTCCTAAGCACCTAGGACTACAGGCACAAGCCACCATACCCAGCTTGTTTTTCTATGTTTTATAGAGATGGTATCTTGTATATTGCTCAGGCTGGTGTTGAACTCCTGTTCTCAAGAGATCCTCTTGCCTTGGCTTCTCAAAGTGCTGGGGATTTAGGCCTGAGCCATCAGTTCTGGCCCTACATTGTTCTTTCTAACCTTCTACATTTTCATGTTTGTAATGCTCTTCTCTGACAGTGTGAAACCTAGTTCTCATTATGTATAATGTGTATTTAATTGCTCACTTCTAGAACACACATTAAGTAGCTTCAATATTGCTAATTCATAACACCATGGAAAACAAACCCACTCACTGAAGTTAGTATTTCTTTATAGTCCTTGCCCTTAGCCTGGAAGTATATTGTCAAAATGCTGTATTTAATGCTTGTTTGAATTAGATTTTTTTCCTTCTCCAGTATGTTATAATATTAATTTGAAATATAATTAAGTTTTAACTTTTCTGTTTGTATTCCAACTTTGATTCTTTTTACCTGTTTCCTTTTAGTTTTATTCATATATCAAATTCGTATTTATTTATATTGCCTGTTTGAAACATTAGCATTGTTCTAAAAACCAATTCAACCCAAAAAATGTTTAATCAGAGAATTGTCACTCCCTCTCCCACAATTCCTCTTTGGCCCAGGGTTTTTTTGGTGCTTTTTTGTTTGTTTGTTTTTTTCCCACAGACATGTACATTTTCTGATATCCCTTTCTTTCTTATATGAAAGGTAACATAGATACGTCCTGTATGGCTATATCAAAAAGTAAACATCTGTTTGATTTTGTTAGCTATATTGCCAAATTCCTATGTAAAAGTACTGATTTGTCTTCCTGCTAGCAGCCTATGAAAGTATCTTAGCCCACAGCCTTGCTAATGAAGTATATTATCGTATATAGTTACACTTTGATTTTGTCAATCAGGTTAAAAAATGGTATCTCAGTGTAATTTTAATTTGCATGTCTCTGTGTGTGAGGTGGAATATCTTTTTCAATCAAATCATTTTTATCTTATTTTTATTTTTGAGACAGAGTCTCACTCTTTCGCCCTGGGCAACCTCAAAGTCTTGGACTCAAGAGATCCTCTGGTCTCAGCCTCCTAAGTAGCTGAGACTACAAGTGCCAGCCTCAATACCCAGCCAATTTTTCTATTTTTAGTAGAAACAGTTTCTCACTCTTGCTCAGGCTGGTCTCCAACTCCTGAACTCAAGCAAGTTCATCTGCCTTGGCCTGCTAGACTGCCAGGATTATAGGCATGAGCCACCTTGTCTGACCTCTTTTGCCCATTTTCCCAATGCAATTTAGGTCAGTTTCTTTTCTTCGATATTTAAATTTTTTATAAATAAGAGATACTACCTGTTTATCTAGTTATCTGTTTATTCTCTATCTAGTTACAGTATTTACCTGTAATTTTATGTTGCAAATATTTTTCCCAGTTTTCAATTGTCTTTGTTTTTGTAACATGCATTCTTGGGATCAAATTTATTGTTCTTTTCTGTTATTCTCTCTGGATTTTGAGGCATCCTATACCCAGATTATTTTCTAGTGCTTATATAGTTTAGATTCCTAATCTATTTGGAGTCAATTTTTCTGTGTTAAGCTATGGATCTAATTATATCCATTTCCAAATGGCTTCCTAGTTCTCCTAGCATTGTTTTTTAAAAACACCATTTTTACTTCAGTGATTTAGTGGTACCTTTATTGAATACTAAATTTTCATGTGTATTTTTGTTTCTGGACTTCATATTCTGTTCTTTTCTTTCTTTCTTTTTTTTTTTCTTTTTTTTTTTGAGACAAAGTCTCTCTATGTTTCCCTCAGTAGAGTGCCATGGTTTCTCAGCTCACAGCAACCTCAAAATTGGGCTTAAATGATTCTCTTGCCTCACCCTCCCACGTAGCTGGGACTATAGCCACCCACCACAACACCTGGCTATTTTTGGTTGCAGTTGTCATTGTTGTTTAGCAGGCCGGGGCCAGGCTCAAACCCACCAGCCTCAACGTATGTGGCCAGTGCCCTAACTCACTAAGCTACATATGTGCTCTGACCCTTATATTCTACTGGTCTTTTTGTCTATTCATATTACCAGTGTCATGTACCTCTCTTTGTTCAGTATTTCCCCTATTTGCGTATGTTTTTCCATGTGAATTTTGGAATCAGTTTTTTTTAGCTTTATAAGACATTTATTGGTAGTTTTAGTGGGATTACCTAAAATTTATAAATTTAGAAAGAATTGACATCTTTATGATGTTGAGTTATCCTATCCAAGAACAAGAGATTTCTTTCCATTTGTTCAAGTCTATTTTTGCATAATACTTACCACATCTTTAAAGGTCATTTTAATTTTATTATAGCAGTATAGAAATTAGTGTGTGATTTTTGTCCTCCTATTTTGGTGTAAAATACAGTTCTATGATGGAGCAAGAATAAATCAAATAATATGGAAACTGTTAAGTAGGACTTGTTATTTTACGATGTTTTCTGTTGTTTTAATGGAAATGTACATTATAGTTACATATATGGACACTTATGTGAGTTTCTTGAAGGCAAGAGTTATATTTTATTTATCCTGATGCTATATACTGTATTTGGAAAAGAATCAGTGTTTCAGTATTTCTTCAATTGATTATACAAGATATGGACAGAAAGTCACACTTTGTGGAGGCTAATTATGGACTTACCTCTGGTAGTTCTTGAATGTTTTTGTCCATTTTTTCATTTATAATGTGCAACGACAAATGATGTGCACTCCCAATATACCTATTTGACTTTATTGTTAGAAATAAAATTCCACTGTTTGTATTTACTCTATCTTGAGGCAAGTTTTGATTACTACAAAGAATAAAGTTCCATTACAGCTATTTTTAGAAGACCCTTTTTGAAAATGATTAAACAATAGAATAATCTTACCATCATTTTCTCTTTTGGAGGGTAATGGTGTTATACTCTCATCTTTTTGTAATTGAAGACTTTTCTTATCAGGTATTATCACAGTTTTTTTTTCCTATTAGAAAAAAAGTACATTATCTGTTGTGATAAAGTGACTTTACAATCTAGGGATCACAGATGACACTTATCTTCTTCTTTTTTTTTTTTTTTTTTTTTGCAGTTTTTTTGGCTGGGGCTGGGTTTGAACTCGCCACCTCCAGCATATGGGGCCGGCACCCTACCCCTTTGAGCCACAGGTGCTGCCCGACACTTACCTTCTCAGAGTTATAATTAGTGGCATTTATTTTTCCTCCATTTGGATTTTATACATAATCCTATTTCATCATTCATCAAATTATAATGTCAATATTTATTCAGCTTGTTTTCATTCTAGAGACCATGAGCTCCTTGAGTAAAAGAAGCAGGTCTTTTTCATTTTTATATGTCCCATGGCTGAACTCAGTGGTTAATAAATGTTGAACACACTGAAATTCCAAATGAGAGGTAGAAGAGAATTCTCAGAATTGGAGTGAGAGTCTTTCTGAGGTGAAACTGTTATTCCTCATGATTGTCGTGTAAGGTGAGTTCCATGTTCAGATTCTGCCATTTTGAGTGGGATGAGAACTCTAGCCATGTGACACATGTGAAGTACTGATTAAGGTCTTTTGTCTCCTCCACGGTGAACTTTTACCTATATGCTTCAGTTAAGGCTTGGCCCTACCAACCAGCTCAGACCACTAGCACAGTCCATTAATTAACTCTGAGGGAATTCACATCAATATCATTAACTCTCTTTTTCCTGTTTTTGGAGAGTACATTTTCTGCCATTAGATTACAGGATGTTATACGGGGTGCTACTAGTCTTTCTACCCTTTGTATATGTTCTGCTTCGGTCTCAGTCTTGTTTCCTGACTCTGCCCTTCACCTTCATTCTCCTGTCTGTATGCTAGTTGAACGTCCTCCCTCCATTCTGCGTTTTTACATGTACATCAAGTCCTGTTGACTTCTCTCCCATTCCACAAATATCTTATCCCTGAATTTGTATTAAGCTAGTGAAACTTCTAAAGCCCTATAAAGAGAAGCAGAGGGAAAAATCATCTCTAAAGTTATTACTTTTTAGAGAACAGGAAATTTTGAAAGTGTTTTTGATTAATTCAAATCATCCAAGTAAACCAGTAGCTTATGTTATGATCAGGGTTGCTTTTTTTTTAAACTTGAAGCTATGACTAGCCTGTCTTTTTTGTCTTAGTAATGAGCAAAAATAATGTTATCATATTAACTAACTCCACTGAGCAAAACTGTGGTGTTGACATATGCTCATTGTGTGTCCCCCACTAAAGGAGAAAGCAGCATTCATAACTGGTCAATCTTAAACACTGTGCCATCTAATCTATAGTGGAAAGGAACTTCTGATATAATCAGTATTGTTGTATCTTAGCTGCATTTCTCATTTTCCATGATTTATGTGTTTGTATGTGACACATGAAGTGGGTAACAGATACTTATGTGCTATATTAACTTTTCCCTTACCCAGCATTCATTTCTGTTTGCCAAGAAAACCACAAGTAATTACTTTGCCCATAAAGGTAGAGTATGAGTGATGTAGTGTAAAAGCCATCCCTGCAGAGTGTTAACTCAATTATAGTTACAGTTACTTAGTGCAAATTGATAGAAGGTCTAAATCATTAAAACTGATTAGAAAAGAAAGCCCAATATTAAGTAATTTTTAATTTTCCAGTACTATTTGTAATTGGCACACATAAATTCTAAAATGCTATAGATACCAAAATAATCAGCATTCTATTTATTTCCTTAAACTGTTTTTCTAAAATAATAAATCTTTAGCTGATAATTCATCTTTGTTTCTCCGAATACAGCATTCTTCTAATTTATTTTTGAAGCAATATGATACATACATATAGGACATTGTGTAACATTATTTAACATATAAATTGCAACTGGTCAGGCATCATCATAAAGTATAGTTTTCCTTACATTTTATATTTTGGTTACTGAAGATACTGTTTGGTTGGCATAGGTACTGTCTGTTAATCTGGGAGGCATGCATACTCTAAAAATATAATCTTAGGGACAATTATTATGAATTACTATGAATCATTTAAAGTGTTTTTCCTTTCCTCCTATCAGACACATTCAGAAAAACAAAAACATGCATTTAAATGGGTACTATTTTAGAAGCTAAATTTAGAGTAGAAATAAAGTACCTTAATGTTTTTTCCATCCAGGTATTTATCCTCATAATCTTGGCTAAATATACTTTCTTCAAAATTATCTGTTCCATAATCATAGGTAATGCGTGGGTCCTGCTGAGTTGATGGTGCTGGCTTTATCAGAGGCACAAAAAGTAACAGGAGAAGTGTAGACTGAAGAGTCTTCATTTTTGCAAAAATCAAGGTGACTGGAAATTAGTAAACTAGTGGCCTGCTGACTGTGGGACAAAACTCTTTTTCCCTGGAAATAAAAACACAGACCTTCGAAGCAATATTTAAAAGCTTAGAGGATGTTTTGGCAGGGTGTACGCAGTAGGGGCCAAAGAACAAGTATTTAACCCTTAGTGATCTTTAATTAGATGTTAACAATTTTTATGTATCAGTGAACATTCTAAAAAATACTTTCAGAAAATAGTTTTATTTCTTCTCTATCAAAAATCCAGAAATGTTGATGATTTAAGTTTCTTAATAATTGTGTACCTTCAAAAGAGGGACAGATGTGCAATTGAATTCTGCTTAGGATACCTGTAGTATAAATAGTTAAAATGAAGACTCATGATTCTATCTCATGTGAGTTAAAAATATCATATTTCAACTTAGCTGCTTTATAAGAACTCTTGATTTGTATTGGTATGAACAGAAATAAGTTCCAAGAAAGGTTTAAAGCTTAAACCTTAAATTTAACATTATGAAAAGTAGTCATTAACACTTAACTTTTTAGGTGGTACTGAATATAGGAAAAGCCATATGTCTTTACTTTTCTTGGTTTTGTAATTTTAATTACAAAATTCTTTTCAGTACTTTTAGTTAATCATATTGCTTTTTAAATTTAAACTATGAAACTAAAAAAATAGTATTGCCTACTGGAGAAAACATAGAACTTTAATCAAGGAACTTTGGGGAATATAATGAAAAGTATTCGTTTAGGCTTACTAGTAAATTTTATCTGGTCGATGCACGTTTCAGATTTTTTCTTAAGTAACTTCAAACATAGTCACTCAGAGTTGCTGATGCTGCATTATGGATGCCAGTTTGTCAAAAATCCAGTGGTTGAAAATGAACAATAAAATGCATTTGTGACTTTGCAAAACCTGTTCTTGCCTGCATGGATGTTAAAGTTATACAGTGATACATATAAGTACTTGCTAGAAAATGTTCGAGGTAACTGAAACTTAAACAAATTAGAGATAGCCTTTACATTGTTTAAGACTGTTAGATTAGTTACACTTTAACAAACAATATTTAAAATAATATGTGAAAAACAAGCCTACCGTTATAGCAGTTTTGAAGTTTTTTGTGATTTTCCTCAATAGATGTTCATGTCTGTGCATTAGCCCCAAGTGGGAGGGTGAAAGAGGAAAGCTGTAGATTGATTTCAAACTGCTGAATAAAATGTCAGGGCCTAACAGCTTTAAGAGCAGTTTCCGTGTGGTAGAGATTTCTGCCAACATTCTTTCTCTAGGGTGAAATGCAGTGTGTTGTACAAGGGAACTGTGCTGAAGATACTCGTAACTGCTCTTATACTGTTTTAACTAATTGACTGTAAACTTGTGTCATTTTATTATTGTGTAATACGCACTAATATTTTCATGAAGATTAGTTTATGAAAATGATAGTTATAAAATCATGCTTCTCATTTGGTAATTTCCCTGGAGGCAAAACATCTGCTATTTGAATGAAATCGAACACCAAAAAAAGCATAGTCTAGCTCTTTATTTTATGAGGACTAAAATATTATCTTAATACTATAACTAATACAAAAGCTAGAAAATTCCAATGTAAAAATTAGTTTTTGCACTAATTGGTTTATTATTAGTTTTGTCATTTGGGATTTTCTTCTCTCCTTTGTTTTAGTTACATGTAGCAAAACTGCAGCATAAGAATTCACTTTTTAGAAATAAATTTGATGTATAATTTTAGGGGTAGATAGTTAAAAGATATTTTTGTTTGATGAATGAAGGAAACTTTATATAAACTATTTTAAAATTAAATTTTACAAGTTAAAGTGGTATTGTAGATACCACATGATTTTTAGAAAAAAGATTCACTTTTTTTTTTATTCTTTGATGCTTTTAGCAATCGAGGTAACATTTCTCTCTCCTAAGCTAAACATTTAACAAGTATGTATAAATACCAGTTCTCTTTCCTAGTCAAAATTGGTTTTAGAGACCTACAAATAAAAGTTTAAATAAATTGACTTTAATACTCAAGTTTTTACTTGACCATGAACTATTTTAAATTTAATTCTGATCTTCTCTGATTTTGTTAATATAAATTGTTGGTTTTATAGCTTTAAAGGGAAAATAAAAAACTTTTTAAGTCTTTGAAAGATATAATAATGAAATAGCAGAAGCTGACTTGTATTATGCAACAATTTAACAAGATGTTGAGTAGTAAGCTGGCTAGATATCATACTCAAATTTAGAGAAACTTAGAGATTTATGGTTTAATTAATGGTGGTAAAGTTTGATATTTTATACTACACAAAATTATTTTGTGGATTGTAACATCTTTTCTTGAAAAAATATGACCAATGGATACAATGTTATTACCATCCATTCATTTAATGAATTCATTTAATAGTATTCATATAATACTTAGCATCAGCTCGCCATCTGTGGCTCAAGTGGCTAAGGCGCCAGCCACATACACCTAAGGTGGCAGGTTCGAATTCAGCTCAGGCCCACCAAACAACAGTGATGGCTGCAACCAAAAAAAGTAGCCAGGCGTTGTGGCGGGCACCTGTGGTCCCGGCTACTTGGGAGGTGGAGACAGAGGCAGGAGACTCACTTGAGCCCAGGAGTTGGAGGTTGCTGTGAGCTGTGATGCCGTAGCACTCTACCCAAGGGGACAGCTTGAGGCTCTGTCTCAAAAAAAAAAAAAAATACTTAGCATCATTACTGGTGCTACAACTACAGACAAGTACACTCAGATATGCAAACTCAGTTTCTCCCCCACAGGAACTTTTATAGTCTCCAGTTTAGCAGAAAAGGTAGCAAACAAATAACTTGAGTGCACAGTGGGGCTTTCCACACAAAAATGTGCAAAGAGTTCTTTGATAACCTGGGAGAGCCACAAAACTTGATTAGGTGACATCAAAGCAGTTACACTCAAGCTGACTTTTGTAGAGAGTATAGGAGAGGAGGACAGGGGTAAGTGGTGAGATAGTCTCGGCAAGGGGAGAATCACGCAGGAGGATGGGATGGGGATAGATCACTTAGGAAATCTATAATTTTTTGTATATAGCTGAAACTTGGAGGAAGAGAGAGAAGAAGTGAGAGGATGTACCGTAGTAAGAAATGTGACTATACAGGGAAATAGGGTTAGACTAAGAAGAGTCTTTTATATGCTGCTAAGGTATTTGGGCTTTAGTCTATAGTCAGCAAGAGACCATTGAGAGATTCTTAAAACCGCAAGTGAAATGATCCTATTTGCATTTTAGAAATATTCCTCTTCTGTTGCATTTCTGAACAACATCACTGTTTGCCTCTTGTGGTGGTTGTCTATTACTGTATAAGAAATTACCACAAATTAGTGGCCTAATTAAAATAATATATATTTATTTAATATTATCTCACATTTCCTGTGGGTCAAGAGTTTGGCATGACTTTGTTTCATTGTCTGCTGTCAAAATGTAGCTGAGACTGTAGGCTTACTTCAGAGGTGAAGTAGAGAAGGATTCACTTCTAAGCCCATGTGGTTGTTGACAGCATTCGGTTCCTTGCACAATATGAGACTAAGGGTCTCAGTTTCCTGGTGGTTGTTGACTGAAAGCTTCCTTCAGTTCTTTGCCATGTGACCCCCCCCACAGGGCAGCTGATACCACAGAAGCTTGCTTTTCTAGAGCCAGAGAGAGAGGAAGTCTTCTAGCAAGATGGGCAGTACTGTCTTCTGTAGCAGTCACATACATGTAATCCTATATATGCCATCAGCTTTGCCATATTCTATTGGTTAGAAGCATGTCACAGGTCACACTCATACTGAAGGGGAGGTGCTTATGCAAGGCAACAGTCTGGAAATACCCAGAATTACACTGGAAAATAAACAAACCTGTACACTTGCCCAGAGTTAGCCAAACTGTAAAGTATGAGAGCCTAGTCTCCAAGACCACCCTCACTTCTGATACCACGTTCAAGTTCGGGGGTTCCCCAAACCACCCATACATTTGATAATTCTCTAGAAGGACTCTCAGAATTCACTGGAATCTCATCGTTATGGTTTATATAGGGAAAGGATACACGTAAAAATTAGCCAAAGGAAGACATGCATAAGGCAGAGTCAGGGCTGAGTGAGACTCCAAACATGAACCTTCCATTATTCTCAGGATGTGTTACCCTTCTGGTTTCAGTGTGTGACAGTGTACATGGAGTATTACTAATCAGGGAAATTTATCCAAGCCTTAATGTTCAGAGCTTTAATTGGGGCTCTTTTAAAGAAATGGTCGAATCACATGGTTGGTCTTTCTGGCATGGCCAACTTACCCTTAAGACTACTGGATATGGCTGATCCCACCCTAAACAAAGATATTCCTATCAGAAATGACATAGGTCACCTCCCAAACCAAGGTAAAGCCCAATACCTCTCTGTAGGAAAAGTCAAAATCTTTACTACACAGTTTTCTGTTTAAAATGTTTGAAACTGAACTTTTTTTCTGTTTTCTATTCCAGAAAGAAATGTTATATCCTGATAGAAAGCTATTTAGCTTTCACTGTACAGGAATAAAAGATGAAAACTGTTGAATACTTAAGAGTAGATAGTGTATCCAAAAGTGAAAGAGTTTTCTCTCTGGAGTTCTTTTAGGTGACCCTACTATATTATTCTTGGTGTTTTACAGGGGTTTTATTTCTTTGGAGGTGTACCGTTGGTCTGTTGGTTCTTTCTCCTAATTATTTCTCAGCAGTAGGCAACCAAAAAATGTGTTGAATGGAATTGAGATGAAATTGAGTTTTAGAAATAGGTATTTTCTGGGAAAGAGTATCTTTTTGGAAGTGGTTTAGTTCTACTAATAGATCATTTAACTGCAAAGTTGATTAGCTTTCAACAAAAGCTGTAAGCCAGAAGTCTTTTACCCATCTTCATCCTCTAACTTTATGGGAAATAATTGAAAAGTCAACACATGTATGTTCAAATTTTGATTCTGTCATTAGCCTTTCCCTGATCTTTGGCAAATCCTTTAACTTCTATGGACTCAGTTTCTTTATCTGTTGGATTATAGGCTGGTTACTACAGAGTTTCTCTGCCTCCACACTGTTGACATTTTGGACCCCCCAAAT